CCCCCCCCCCCCCCGCGACGAACAGAATCATCTCTTACAGGACCAAATTCAATGCACAATCCCAACTCCTGATTGTAATACATGTTTGCTAAAGCAAGAACTCAGGTAGCTCAAGCTACAGTACCTTTCGTGACATGAGAACACTCAAGCACTGAAGCAAGGACATGACACTCATACCAGGAAAGTAAATGTTGACACAACATACCATGCGTGCGCATGAAGCCAAATTAAGCGTTCTGAAGCTTCCATGTCATCACTTTTGTCAAGCTTTCAGGTGCGTTCCCAGGCACCTGGGCTTCATCAGCTCGACCATCCACGCTAAGGCTTCCAGCTCCTCAACAAAATAGGCACGTTCGTTTTTTTGAGCATCTCACTCATCTGGTTAAGCCGGAAGCTATTTAGAAAAAAAGATGCTCAAAATCAACGCCCACATCGTCCAACAAGATTGGTTAATCACGGTCAATGTTTGGGCAGGCTGCCCATTTTGGGGAGCATTCAGCATTCTGGTATTACTTGCCGTTCAGCCGATTCTGTGAGCATTGACAAAAGTTTGGGCAAGTATATATATATATATCCTGAATTCTAATTGGTATAAGCTCAATAAGCTCCATAACTAGAAACAAGACAAACATGCTCTGTAGTATCTGTGCAGTAGCTTTGTCCCTTACAGCAGCTGAACTGCCCACATAAGTTGCTTGTTACAATGTACTTCGTTTGTTGTTCATAGAGTCTTTTTCAGTTTAGGATCCTCATTGTAGAGGCTTACTGTCCAAAGAACAAAGGTCCACACCTTCAGGCATGCAACAGGCATGTTGTGCTGTTGTACTCATGAAGACTTTTCAGCGTGCATTAGCACTAAGTCAGTCTGATTCCCTTTATAATATGTTTTCCGTGCATCTTGTGGTCAAGCAATGTTCTGATACCACGAATTTGCTCACTGGCCTAGAGGCAACTGCAATCTCCGTCAAATCTGTGTCACTCGTAGATTTTGTCAATCGGCTCAGTAAGATGCGCTTTATATGTCATGGCTACAAACCACGGATACATCCTGATCAACACGTGCTCAACAACAGTTCCTCAATGTAGCGTCAGATATTAAAATACCTGACATGGCACACTGATTTCTTCCCCTTGTCTTGCCATATCGCGTTTGTCCAAATGGTTTCAGGCTTGGGCATGTGACGTTCCTACAAAAACAGCCATGGGAGTGCTTATGATAGGTGTGGAAAGGTGATCTGCCACAGAAAAAACCAAGATGGAGCCCACGAACCCGAATGCAAACACGTTCGAAAAGCTACATATGTCCAAATGACACTCTTGTAGGACACTCTTGTGGGACACTCTTGTGGGTCACTCTTGTAGGAAACTCTTGTGGGACACTCTTACGTGACACTCTTGTGGGACACTCTTGTGCGACACTCTTGTGGGACACTCTAGTAGGAAACTCTTGTGGGACACTCTTGTAGGACACTCTTGTGGGATACTCCTGTAGGACACTCTTGTGGGACACTCTTGTGGGACACTCTTGT